ATAAACAGAATGAGAAATGTGGAAAGAGAGATTATATTAAAAGAAATAAAATTATATTAAAAGAACATATTTTCAACACATTTAGAATATAACATCTTCACATATACAATTCACAGAAAAAACCCAAATCAAAGTAATAAATGACCTACTATGGGAGTTTACTTTTAAAAATATTCATTCTTTTTTGCTTTTCCTAAAGTATGATCAACAAATCTATATAATTTAACAGTGAGATAGAAACAGCTAAATTATTATTATACCAAGGTAATGAGCTATGAATTTGAATAAGTTCATTTATTTAGGAAATGGTTGGTGCTGTTTTGGCACTATACAATAAATGATGCTTTAAACAATTAGCATATATTAGTTTACAGCTGACAGATGAACAATGAATGATGTGCTCATCATTCTCTGTAATGGAACAAAAACAGAAAAAGGTTTATTGCATAGAATTACAGGAGCTCAGCTGAAACTCTGCTCTGATTGGAGATCATTAAAATCTTGGACGACAGAGAGGAAGCTTTTCCCGACAACGTTTTGATGTTTTGCACATTACTATTACGCAGATCATGAACTAGAAAAATTTACAGGAAATTATTATTTTCCAGGATGTTCTAGACTCTAAAGAGTTCTAAGTGGCCTGGAAAAGTTAATGTTCTCCCTATTTATCTAAAGTAAGTGGAAAGTAACAGCATATCATCAGATCTCTGCTGTAAGGAAAGTTATCAGCATTTTATATGTATTATCTCCAGCATGAAGCATCAAACTACTTTGTCAACAACTGTGATGGTAGCTGAATAGAGTTTAGTCACCTAATCCTTTCATTCTCTGTGAGTGCTGATATGTGTTCAACAACCAGTTATCCAAAAGGAAAAAGCTCTGATTTATAGAGTTTGCTGTTTTCTCAGGAATAAATACTCCCACTGAGGCTGACTTCAAGTTACCAAGTGTCACTGAATGCAGAGTGACTGCACACCACCAGGGTGGGGGTTTTGAAATACATGCACTGTTTGTAGGACTCACAAAGACTCGTCAGGTGTTAAGGGCCAATCACATATCATATCTGTAAACTACTCATCAAGGGAAATCTTGTGAAAGATGGAATAACAAGAACAGCTTAAAATTTTAAAAAGCACAATTGTACAAACAGTAGTCATTAACCCAAGGCCAAAATTTACTGAAGAGCTCCTGTCTCTCGGTCTGAAGGAAATTTGTAAGGTTAATAATTT